AATTTAGGTAATACTTCCGTACAAGTCTACTTTTAACTACCCTTATAAATCACTATATCAAGGCAAAAAGTCGGTTTAGCTAGCTATAAAACCAGGTTTAATCCACTATTTTCTACATACGGAAACAGGAATATGACAGTTGTTTTCGGTTCGTTAGATGTGTTTGAGTTTTTGATTTTTATAAAGGACTTTCCGTTTTGAAATTCCCTTAGAGTTCGATATTTTTGTTATTTTACTTTTTATGGTGGCTAACATATTTTGTTTATAGATTCGTTATTGATACAATTGAAAATAATAGATAACCATATTGTGTGTATGATAATTGATTCTTATGTTAAAGTGATAGTGTGAAAATCAACTTTTATTCTCATATGGAGAATGATTTGACACTGAACGTCGTTCATGCGCATTTTTGGCAGTTTACTCGTATTGAAATGAATCCACTGAAATCTAAAATGAATGGCAACAACAAAATCATGAAGGTAATGCAAATAGAAGCCCGAAATGAAAATTCGAACATAACTCAATGTTTAAAATCATATCTGAACATCACCATCATTCCTTCCTAAAAACACTATGGATTTTTGCACGCATTTGTAAAGTAAATGATCCAAATTAGCAATATATCCCACCCATTCCACCGAATCTTTCTATGCTTACAGTATTTACCGATAGATATACGTATTACGATTCACGAGAATCGCTTTTAAATGAAATGTCGCGTATAACATGTATACTATGTATAATATTGAGAATAAATATTGCTTTTACCATTTTGTATTCCTCTTTTCTGTTCTTCGAACTGTATGTTACTTATCTCTTGTTGCAAAATATCTTTAACATCATTTGTATAGTCTGTACTTTTGTTATTGTTAAGTTCCATTCGTTTTGCAACATTTCGGACAAGTCTGCATAATTCCTTGAATCTAGAATTGTCAATCGCAAACGCAGACAGATGTTGAATTTCAATTCGTATAAGTCTAATTCTTTCAATATCATCTCCAATTTTCTTGTCCGTTTCTTTGATATCTTTTAAAAACCCTCCCCAGGAACCTTTTGTAGGCATGTGTCGATTTTGCCGTCTGAGTTCAGCATACAAATAAGAAATATCACATTCTGTTCTCGATCGGACAGGGGACGAATCAACAGCAAGTCGATCATAAAGAGCATCAGTCAACACTGTAAGTGTGATAATAGACATTCGCGATGCATTGATCTGTTCTTTGGTCAGGGTTGGCTGCAAAATATATACATTGACAACATCTTTATCAAATAATTGTTTAAAAGAATACAATACAATCAATATATGAAATTATTTGCAATGTTTTAGATTTTTGTGGTGAAGGTTACTTGAACATAAATTCCCGCCATGGTTTCAAATCACGGGCACAGCGATATATGGTATTATACCCTCTCCAATTGTGACAGCTTTTATCTCGTAACTATTGTAATATTTTAAAAGAAGAACTTATACTTTTTAAGTATTAATCATAACATATTACTCATATCTTCTCTCATACAAGTAAGCATGACAAGGACTTTTTGTTACAACTAATCTGTGTTCGCCTTATGGATAGCGTTCGTTTTGGGATCGTATCTAAAATTCTCATTTCCCGTTTGAGTATGTTAAAATTAATGTCAACAACTCAACGTTATTTCACGTGGTTATCCTTTCATGTTTAATTTATACAACCATTATAACATAATTATTGAATTGATTTAAAAGAATATTTGGAGTGACTTTGAGGGATATGTACTTTTATATATTTACACGTCAAGTACTGTAGATTTCATCAGCTGAAAGCGTTTAAACTTTAGTAGATGATTTGAAATTTTTTCACATGAATACAAGGAGCGCGTTATAACATTTCTTCTGTTTCTAAGAGACATCTTTCAAATTTATCTGATAAAAATAGAAAGAGGACAGATACTCCAAAATATGATTGTGATATATTTTGTGTTTAGCTGGTTCATATAATTGTTCTTTCTAACATGAATACAATGATTAGATTTGTCCAAGTTACATAGTTTTAGAATCGATCCGTTCCCAGTTTTTGATTGAGCTGGATTAAGCTCGGTCATTGATTTTTATGTAGTTTTGTTGTCTTTTTGTCGTCTTTCGGTTTTGCTATGATGTAATTTTTTTTCTTTTTTTTCTGCTTTTGAATAACAAACATGAAAGAAATAACACTTTATAAATTACATGCGTCCGTAGGCTTTCAGTTTTGAATGTCCCCTAATTGCATTGTTTGATTTTTGTCATTATAAAGCATGTTTGGAATTTGAGATATAAATGTATTGTATATTTATAAATGTCTAAGAATCTAGCTTTAATACGCTAATTAGTGTTTTAAAAGTGAAACCGTCTTGTTATATCTTAAATATATTCATGCACTATGTCGCGAGATTATTATCTGGGTGAAATTGGATGCTGATATAAAATTTGTAGCTTATCGTACAGCTCGTATAAGCATATCTAATAATGCTATTTAAATTGTAAATGCCCAAGACATATTCGATGTTTCTTGCTCTTTTTACTTTTGATAGGATAAAGAAAAGACAACTCGTACAAACACAATTCCGTTTGCCGTTGCCTTTTATTCAGCTCTGATAAATTTTTAATCTATTGCCCACAAGCTGTGGCGTCTGATTGATAATAACCCTTCCTTTAAAGATATTTTTTCATCACCTCCTGTTATCGCCTTCCACAGACCCTAAAGTCTCAAAGATATGCTTGGTAATCAAAAGAGATCTAGAAAACTGTGTGTTAAAAATTTTGCTGATGTAGATTAGTAAAAACTCAAATATACCAGCCTTATAATTTGTTACACCAGACACGCGTTTGGTATACAAGAAACTCATCAGTGATGCTCGAAACAAAACAGTTTGAAGACAAAATCAAATATACAGCGGAAGAGCACAAACAATAAAAAGTTGTGCCAAAAAGTTCAAAGCAATCAAAGCCCTGGAGAAAAACACCTTAGTGTTTCAAATAGTTAAACAGTTGATAAACTGTAAATTTACAGAAAAAAGATACAGAAATAATATTCTATGTCAACACAAAAGTGTTGATTACTGGGCTGGGTGACGAAAAGTCTACAAGCAGTAACTTCGACCCAGTGGTTGTAAAAACAAATGAAATATACTAGATGTAAGATCTGTTAAACTTCCAACAAAAAAAAAACAAACAACAAAAAAATTAGTCAGTACTGTACAGTAACAAAGGAGCAGTAGAACATCTACATGTATGCAATATCAAACTGTAAAAAACGGACAACTGTATTTAAGTTCTTACTTGTGGAACTTGAAAGCTGTGAAACAAAACTAAATTTTACATCAAATTGAGCAATCATCAGTCATTTCATACCACAGGAAAAAACTGAACAACTACGACACACATAGCCAAAGCTAAAACAAAATAAACAACCGAAAGACATACTTTGGGTATATCAGCCACGTTCTCTTAAGAGCTTACGATACTGTTACAAGGGAGATAATGACGTTGCTAACGTAAACTGTTTTTTTTTTCGCGACCTCAAACTGTAATATATGGGGAAAAGATTCATTTTTCGACCCTTTTTTTATCATGTGAAAACGAATGCATTGACCCTTATTTTTTAAAATGACATTTGGCTTGATTATGTATGAAGATTATTTTTACCAATTTTTATGAACACATGATCGATGGAATATTTTGAATTAGATAATTATACCACAAAAAATAATTATTTTTTTGTCTAAAATTAAAAAAAAATAATAAAAATTAATTATTTCTAAAGAATTATTGCAAATTTAGAGCATACTTATATTAAGACGATATTCTAAATGATTTTAAAAAAATCCTTTTGTTTTTATCTATGCAACAAAAAAGTTAGGTATGTCTAAAATGACAATCTTTTAGATATATTGAATGTTGATTAGCCTTTGTCAGTGTCAATTTTTTTTTATCAAATGTAAAGGAATACTAGTTATTTATGTTCACAAAATATCTCAGTGATACCGGTTGAGATTTAACCGTTGTTTTAATACGAAAGCCGGAACCTCATAAAACAAAACAAAACCTAATTCATACTAACTACCCATCTCTGAAAACAGCTTCAGTGTAATTTGTGAGCATTGGAAGTTATTTACAAAATATCCCAAATATCCGAGATCTTTCCCGAGTCTACCCCCACCCCTCCATGATAGATCTAAGGCAATCCGAAAGTCTGGAGAACCTGTTGATACCGGCCTAAGTGTTGTCGACGAGAATTACTTATGGAGAATACCGTTTGTGTTGTAACAAACGTTACAAATGTTGCCTAAAGATGCATCGCTCATCAAAATTCCACAGTAAGGCCACCAAAAATAACTATAGAATATTTTGCAATGTGATCTGCAAAAGTTTGAATGTTATTCATTCTAGAATGTTTGGTTTGTGACGTCCAATATGTGGGATAGTCACAGCCTTTCCACAAATACCTCAATGGCCATAGAAGTGGTGTATTTGAGAAGCCACTTCTCCCAGTTAGCCATTTCAAGACAGTCGGATCATAGTTTAATGAATTTAACCGCATGAAAGTCCTAGTGATTAAACAAAACATTCACTGAAGTGATGCTAGCGACACGTTCCAGAAAGCGTCTAGATCAAGAAATTAAATGTACTTCGTCCAATGGCATCCACACGCAGTGCCAGTTTGATAGAGATGTTTATCTATTATTTAATAGATATTTACACTAACTATTACTTTTTGACAATTTTGTATGTAAAGGTACGCAGCCACGTTTATATTGTATTGCGTTTTGTTATGTTTGATGAAGTTTAAGATTTCGGGTTAAATCAATGGTTAAAAATGTATCTGTATAACAGAACTATTATTTTTAAACATAAACAACTATTATTGCTTTACATTTCATAAGATAATATTGACATTGACGAAGGCTATTTGTTCAGTCGAAAGATTTGTCAGCAAGATATAATAACATTCTCGTCGTATATAAACATCTTATATAAGCAAATCTTAAGACTTTTGTATTACCTTTAATGTATTTTCGATCCATTCAGCAGAAATCTCATTTGTACAATGGAACTCAGAATGCATTTTGCAAAAGTACTGTGTTTTCTCTTCAATCTGATCGACATCTTCCATTCCAACACAGCACGGCAATGCTGAAGCTGAACATTTAAGCTTCGTCTTGTAACACAATTTCATCTGAAAGAGTCTGCCTAGTCGTTGAAGAAATGAATCGAGTTCTTTTCTTAAGGCACTGTAAGACCGCTTTATGTGTCCCCATTTCCAAACTTGCATCTGTATAATATTTTTGTGAGCCGCTATTAAAAGCATCTCATCTTCAGCATCTTTTAGATAAAACAATGCAAAATTGCTGTATAACACTAGCTCGCTATCACCTGTTAAATGACTAACTGAGGCAACTGCAAGTTCTCGACTGTATGCAAGAAGAAGACTGGTTGTCAACGGCGGTGGTAAGAATTCAAATTCGAGACATAACCATGAAGATTTTGATTCACATTTAAAGAGAACAATCACTTCATCAAGATCCTTTGTCCTTTTCATACAAGGAACAAAGTAATTTGATTCCTGTACAATTTCGTTTGATGCCTGCTTAATTTTAGGACGAACTATTATATCAAATTTCTCCATCATCGCTAGAATGTGATCGCGATGATCTTTAATTTCTGAAGATTGGCATGAAAATAAATGATCTAAAAGCTTTTCGCTTAGTCGTCCCGTTGTTCGGAACTGATTCCATTCAGTTATAATTGATACCTCAACCTGAAATATATCTGCAAATACTATACATTTGAATGCATTTGCAAGCCACTGTGGAAACAAAACAACATAATCAGGTAAATCTTTGAAGTATGTGTACGTACCAATGCCATGGTGATAAACGAGAAAAGCTTCAACTTCATCAGGATCGGAAATTGGTTGATTTGTGTTTGATGCAATTTCTAAAATTTCCGCTTTAGATAAGATAAATTGGCCGCTATTTATCTCTTCCAGCAGTGACTTTTCGAGGTTAACCCACCGGACGGGTCTACTTTCATTCCAGGAAGTTGTTGATTGCGCAGTAACCAGTAACTGCTTTCTCATTTGTTCAAAATCCTCATCTATATCATCTGTGTTAGAAACTAAATAGTAATTTCTCACATGTTTCAGGGTTTCCTCATTTTCTACAGCATTCTTAACCTCTGTTGTTAATTTATCCTTACATTGCTGCAGGCTTCCCTAAAAAAAAAGGGTTAACATGGAAAAAAAACCAACATTATGGTTTTCAGATACAATTGAATCACCCAAAGTAGTATGAATAAGGAAAGTTCTTATAAGTTTGATTAAAATTAATTTTTGTGAAATTATATTACCTGAATAATATCTCCCAATTTTTAAATAAAACCGACTTCCATGAGAGCGACGCTTGATATATATATATGATATTATAGATAGTTTAAATCAATAATAACGTAAAAAAAATGTAACACAATTATTTAAATTAATTTAACCTCATAGAGGGAGTTGAATGAGACTGAGGAATGAGAAGGCATGAGAGTCCTCTTTTGAATTGAAAGTCTTTAGTCCTACATAAGTCTTTTTAGCCTTCACAATTTTCGTCATATTTTAAAATAAATTGATTTGTTTAGGTAAAACGACTGACTTTTGTAAACAGTTAAAGGACAACTTTAAAATTTGACACACATGTTTTACCTTAAAAACAAATCTTAATCGTAAAAATTTAAAAACAAAATGACTTTATTTACTCTTTAAATCATGATTGTGTTTGGTGCAAATAGGTCTTTTTTTTTAAAGATGTTTCAATCATTTATGCTGAATGAATCTGTTCAAGAAAAAAAAACCGTGATTATTTTATGTTTTCTAGTCGCACTATCAAAAGTGCATGCATATAGTTAAAATGTTAAAAGCATGTTTTTGAGTTTTAATTTTTTTTGTTATAATCTAAAAAAAAAAAACAGTCTTCAAAGTAGTTTATATTTTCTCCTCTTTGCAGTTTAAGGATGTGCAGAACACTTAAGAATTAGGAATTTAACTCATAAACAATCAACAGCACGTTTTAATCACAAACTATTAGTACAGAGAAATCAAGCTTCTCAATGATCAAAAGAAGTATTTGACAAACGTCTATATATTCAATGAAATTATTTTTGTAAATTGTGTGGTTCAAATTTCTTGAAATTTTGATATTTTTGTCAAGTTGTGTGGTCAAATTCAATATTTTCACAAAAAATATTTTTTTTTTGTCAAAATGTTAGGAACCAATTCAAATTCCATCCACTTGAAATCAAATTATCAGTCTAACCTTAAATTTGTCTTTATGAGTCCCGACAATAAAAACTGATGGGTCTTTATGTGGTTTATCTTCGTCATTAGAATGATCTGTTCCATTACATCGGATTGCTTCTAGCCAAAACTTTAAATCATCTGAAAAAAAAAATGAAATGCATATTATGATAATGCACGTTAAGATTTTCGTCAACAGCGTAATTAAATTTAATGAACATGACTTCAATTAGGTAAACACAATATATACACTTTCACAGACAAATCGAGAAAAAAGAGACCATATAGGTGGATGATTTAAGGTAGGAAAATTAAAGGCGTTTTATTTTACTATAGACATGCTTACATTTGGGATACTAACTAGTTGTTTTAGTTATCACTCCGAAATTATCTTGATTATTGAAAAATTTGTTTTTGGCGAAGAGTCGTTTAGGAAGATAATGTGTAATAATTAGTTTACTTGGGTATGCAGGAAAATGATATTTTGCTAATATTGCCTCACTCAGCCTATACCCATATTGACAATTGAACTGTTTATCATAATATATATGTATCAAACAAATAATATACATGATATAAGCTTTGTTAACATAAAAAAAAAAAAAAAATACTAAAAACAAAAATGAACCCTACCGATGCATATTTTTTTAAAAAGTGAATAAAATATTTCCTTTTTTGGTTACTTTTCGTTTGTATTTGAACTAATTTAGGTCATTATCACAAATTGGAAAATAAACTAAGCAATATGTACTAAAATAACATTCAAGAGTAGGAAATATATATTACAATGTATTATAAACTCATTTATTAGGCTTTTATGGAGAGGACCACACACAACATAAATGCATGATAGCCAATTTAGAATGAAAACATTTTATTTTTCTGTTATCAAGAAGATATACCGTTGTCATGTTACTGATACAATTTATTTGTATCGTCAAAATTTATTTAAATCTAGATTAGTGCTTAATATCAAATCAGTGTATTCATAACATTTGTGTAAGATATCAACTTAATAACCCAATAGACCAATTTTCATACGTATTTTTTAATTGGTTTGCCAAATAAATGCAAACTAAAAAAATATCACTTTGTGCTTTCTCTATAAGATTGTAACTGTGTTGTGTACAACTTTGAGAACAAAACCATACTATGAAAAACTTAATCAGCTCTAAATGAAAGTATGGGGTTCTTGAATACAGTTTAACAGCTTCTGGCGTACTTTTCTTTTTTACATTTTTCAACTGGATTCGAATCAATACTTTACCTTAAAATTAATGATCAAAATAGATTTTACAGTATAATTTCATCCCCCTACTTGCTATTGTATGAATAAAACACGCAAAAAATTAATTGATAAGGTATAAAAACGAATTATACTGTCCACACTAGGGACTTCATTCTTTAACAATGAAAATCAAATAACATTTACTGCGTTCCGAGACCTACTAATAACTATTGCATAGTGATATCATAGTTTAATTGGTTGTCATCAAACTTAACAAATTTCAACTACATCATCATACTTTAGGCTATAATTAATATCTAGAGCACTACATATTCACACGACAAATGTGCTTACATCTAAAATCCTCAACAGACATATCCTGGGTAAATTTGGAGACATCAAAAGTCACAATATAGATAGCATCTTTTGACAGGAAGGCCTTGTGTGTATTATAATATATCTCGTCGCCAGCAAAGTCCCAGAAATCAATGTGTGCAAATTCCTCCTCGTCTACGGGTGCTTTCAGTATTTCACATAAATCATGCAGATCTTCACTGATATTTTCGTACTCACTGCTTTTACTATCATGTGTACTGGTTGCATACACTGTATCGTACGTTGGCTCCCATTTGTCGGTTTCAATTGAAGATAGACCATCTTCAGAAAAAGGATCATCAGTGTCTTCTTTATTCTTGTTATGTTCGTCGGCCTTACCACTTTTAGAGTCTATTACTTTGTATGTGTCTATTATTGACTTTAAAAGCCTTGAGTTTACGTCCTCTTCAATTGATGATTCTGAAATGTTTTTATACTATATTTTGTATTTGCAAACCCACCAACATTGTCGACCATATGATCGAGAGACTTATGTACGACTTTGAAATGCTTTAAATGGTTTAGTTTGGGATAATTTTTATAAACGTTCATTTGCTAGTCTAAACACACAGATTTAGCCCAGGAAAACCGCTATATAAATAAATTAAATGTTTAGACTTGAGCGTAACTGATGCAAGAAATTCAAAAGGCGCTCCGAACGCGCGAAATTCATAAAGTTTTATTTTCATCAAGTGTAAATGCTACCATCTCATTCGTTTTTAAGGAAATTGGGAAAAAGCCTAACAGTAGTAATAATGTTTGAAAATTATATAAATCATACCTTCTTGACAAATCCATTTCATATCACCCAACTTTGCTTTACATTTTGAGAAATGTATTTCTACTCCATTAGTACTATTGACATCTTTAATTGCTTTCCTTAATAATCTTCTCACCAAACACGTTTTTCCTGACTTTTTGGGTCCGACTACAATTATGCGAACCTTATTTCGTCTTTCCGTGCCTAATTTCAAACATTCTTTATATATTTCTACTGCTTTTTCATTCTTTTCTAGTAATTCATGTGGTATTAAATGATCTGATGTATGCAAGTTGCTGCTCTTTCTGGATACATTGCGAATGTTGTCATATATGGTCTCTTAAATAAGAAAATACTTTAGTAATGATCATTTAAACAAAAAACATGACAAATCTAACTGTAATAAAATTATTTTAAATTTTACAGGTTATAATGACTAAAGATACTATTTATGCAGTTTGAGCTGATTAATATCAGTGTTGATTACAAAGTTACTGTTTTATTGGTAAGACTATGATGTAATACTGTATTTCAATTGTCAAAATATGTTTATATCTGAGGTCACAAAAATTTCTTTCATTTTCTCAGTTGTTAATATCTAGGCATTTAGACCATTTTCCCAAAAAAAAAAAAAAAAAAAAAAATCAACGATATGGAACTTATTATGGTAAAAGAAATTTTATTTGTATTCTGAAATATTGATGTGGAATTCCTTTAATAAAAGTAATTTAAATATTTAATAAAAAAAAAAATAAAAAAAAATCACTTCAACACTGGGACATGTGGAATGTGATATGTGTAGATAATTCTCTATCTTTATTTGAAAAAAAAAGATATGTACTAAATATGAATTTCATCTACAACCTCTTGATACAGTAAATTGCGCTTGTTTATATTTTAGAGAGAAATGTCATGTCAAAGTTAATGGTAATGAATACTAAGAGACATCATACAAAAGAATCTAGTTAATGTAACCAATACTGTTGCTGCAATGGAAAGAAAATAATCATACCATTCAATTTTGAATTTGGAACAAGTCTACGGATTAGAGTGTAACCTTTGCGGATTGGTTTACGTCCGTGAAACGAAAGGAAGGCTAAACAAACGTATGTGCGGCGATCAGATATCAACCTCAATGCAAACGACATTCTGTACCAGCATTTTAATCAGCCTGATCATTCCATCGTTTCTATGACAGTTCGTATTATCGAAAAAAATATACCACAAGACTAACAATCCTCAACTTGCAGCGCCTCTCCGTAGACAAAAAGAGGACTACTGGATTCAACAATTGGGAACTGCGACATCATATGGTTGCAATAACAAAATAGATGGTATAGGTATTCTATCTAGTCCTTCCTGTAGCTCGGTGAATGTGATGAAAATTTTCAACTCTACTCCTCGACGTAGACGCAGTCATGGTCATCGTCATTATACATCACCTACTTTGCATGATGTCTCTATTAATGACTTGCTGCCATTTATACAAAAGCCGTTAGGTATTCATCACATTCGCACGAAACTTTATTCATTACCCCTTTCAAAACGTCATTCTCTGTTCAATTTAT